GGTGCCCTACCCCTCTGAGCCACAGGTGCCACCCCCTCTGCTAGTTTCTTAACGCCAGTTTCAGAGAATTTGTATCTGCCAATGTGAGCTTGACAGCTTTCTAAAACTTAAAAGACTTCTGATGAGATCATAAGTATTAATGAATGTGGTTCTAAGACAGTGGTTCTCAACCTGTGGGTCATGACCCCTTTGTAACAATGAAAATAGATTGCAACATTAGGAAAGTTGAGAATCGCATCTAAAATATTATACAGGCTCAGTGCCTGTGGCTTAAGCGGCTAAGGCGCCAGCCACATACACCAGAGCTGGCTGGTTCAAATCAAGCCCAGGCCTGCCAACCAACAATGACAATTGCAACCAAAAAGTGGCCAGGTGTTGTGATGGGAGCCTGTAGTCCTAGCTGCTTGGGAGGCTGAAGCCCAAGAATTGCTTGCCCAAGAGTTTGAGGTTGCTGTGAGCTGTGACATCATGGTACTCTACTGAGGGCAACATGGTGAGACTGTCTCAAAAAAAAAAGAAAGAAAAGAATATGGAGTGATGCTATGTTTGGGTGTCTTAGTGAATCATCTCAGGAGGGGGACCAATTAGAGTAGAGTAGATTAAAGCTCTCTAATGAGGTAGAGAAGCAGCAGTCACTCATGTTAGCCAGGAGAGGGGGATGTTTGGTGTTTGTAGGGTGTACGATGACCTTATTTTTTCTGTACTAGACAAAATTGTGAAGTGTTCTTGTTTTGTCTCACTTGAACACACCCTCAGAGTGACCTATCTGATACTGATATTTTGTGAGATTGTTTATGTCCAACAAGAGAATAATATGGCCTCGGCCAGCTCACACAACACTGAGGCGTAGCTGTGTTTGAGTAATTTCCAGATGCTAGGCTACTTTTTTCTTTTTTAGACTACTACTAAGAATCAGTTGAGAGGTCTCAATATGCTCCCACCTAACAGGTACAATGAAGGGGTACATTGCACACCTCCTGGGTGAAAGACTCAAATGCAACTCAGGCATTGCCTAACAAAGGCAAACAATGTCCCTTCCTACCAATCCTGTGTACCCTTATAAAATGCAGCTATTCCATTAAAAAAAATCAGTTGAAATCTATTTATATTCCCTGTGCTTTTCATAATTATATAATTGCATTAGATATATAAAACACTGAAATTAGTGTGGAAAGAAAAATTATTTCTATGAAAACCAGGTTGAATGTTTTGAAAAGGCATGCTGAGATGAAATTCTGAAAGCAGTTTAAAAACGGTTATTGAATTAGAGGCGGATAAATACAGGCAAAACAAATAGGTCATTGAGGACTCATTTTTTCCAGAGGTATTCTGCCTACCGCTTGCTTTACAAGTATCTTCTGTTTTTTGTTTGTTTGTTTTTTGAAACAGTCTCACTTTGTTGCCCTGGGTAGATAGAGTGCCATGGCATCATAGCTCATAGCACCTTCCATCTCTTGGGCTCAATTGATCCTCTTGTCTAAGCCTCCTGAGGAGCTAGGACCACAGGCACCTGCCATAATACCTGGCTATTTTTAGAGATGAGGTCTTGCTCTTGCTGAGTCTGGTCTCAAACCCATGAGCTCAGGCAATCCACCAGTCTCAGCCTCCAAGAGTGTTAGGATTATAGGTGTGAGCCACATTGCCCAGCCATGAGTGTCTTCTGGTTCTTGCTTTACCATAAAAAAACTCACATGGTAAATTTCGAATGGTATATCATGAGTGTAATTTATATAAGTAAAGATGATGTGGAACTCAGATTAGTGGAGCCACACTCACAGACAAGTCCATGGCCTTTTTTTTTTTTTGGAGACAGAATCTCACTATGTTGCCTTCGGTAAAGTGCTATGATGTCACAGCTCACAGCAACCTCCAACTCCCGGGCTTAAGCAAGTAGCTGGGGGGACAACAGGCACCCATCACAATACCCAACTACTTTTGGTTACAGTTGTTATTGTTTAGCTAGCCCAAGCTGGGTTTGAACCCAGCCTCAGTGTATGTGACTGGCTCTGTAACAACTGCTATGGGTGCTAAGCATTTTGGGGGCTTTTTTTTT